GCTTCCAGTGCTATATCCAGTCAAGAAGGCAGGGTGTTGGTATGTACTGTATTTACAACTTAAATAAAGGAAAAGTGTATTTGTGTGGCTAGTTAGATCAGGACAACTCTAAAAGAAGTGACACCCATTGGAATCAAGCAGAAAGTTGCCTCTACAGACAACTTACATATTTGATTTCCTACATATAAATAAATTTGTGCTCTCCAAACCCCAAAGCTATATTATTGAATGTTGCCTATAGTTCCTGAATGACTAGGGCTGGGAACACATAGCCTAGGAATGCATGCAATTCAATAAGCCTTTGCAATTGCATCTTATTTGTTGTAGGAGCTGGCAAGTATATACATATATACCCCTACTCACACACCCCCACTCCACCATCCAATCTGCTGTGCAATTTAAAGGCAATACCAATATACCGGCTTGCAACTCACAGCCTAATTAACCCGTGTTTTCTCTCCGAAGACTTTCCGTCCACAGAGATTAAAAAGGACCGGCATTTGGCTAAAAGCTGGTAGGCATTTCAACCAAACAGAGGTCAATCTTGGCGAGGTGCGATCCTTCCGATTTGGAAGCTGGACCGGGAGATCCAGGTTCAAAGCCAGGGAAATAGTGACCTCCTCGGGCTCCCGGGAGACAGGCGAGGCGTCAATGAATTCCAAAAGGTTGGTATTAAAAAAAAATAAAGGTAAGGCGACGCAAAGAAAGAGAGGCGTGACGGGGGCAGGGAGCCAGATTGGGAACACGCTCCTCTTTCACAGGCTTGTGGATTCCCGCGTGTGGGAATCGTCCTTAGGATCTGAGGCTAGGATCTTTGGGGCTTCCAGGGCGCGCAGAGCCGGGAGGATAACTAAGACGCGGGGATGGCACCGCTCCTTCTCGGGGGCGCGTCCGCGAGAAAAAAACCACTGTCCCAACAACCTCCGTTCTCCGATGCCGCCTCTCTCCCCTTCCCTTCCCCGCGGTGGCGGCTCTTACCGGGTCGGTGTTAAGTGCTGTGAGCGGGGTCCGGGGAGGCCCTCCCGGGTAACTTGCCGGGTGCAGCGGGGGCGGCGGCGGCGGCGACGGCCGGAGCAAAGCCGGGTGGGTCTCCAAGGCCAGCTGCAGATCCAGGATGTAGTCGATCACATGCTGCAGGATCTCCACTTTGCTGACCCGCTTGTTGGGCGGAATGGTGGGCACCAGCTTCCGAAGGCGGCTGTAACAGTCATTCATGTCGCACTGAAGACACAGAGCGGCGCCGGGCTCCTCCTCGCCCAGCGAGGGGCTCCCCTTGTAGCAGCCGTGCTCGGCCAGGCAACGCAGAGCCAGATCGCCGCCGCCGCCGCCGTCGCCTCCTCCTCCTCCTCCTCCGCAACAGCAGCCGCTAGCCAGGGCTTTCCGGCTGGGGTGTCGGACGGGACTCACCGCTTTCATGGTGGCGAGAAGAGCCGCTCGGCGCCGGAGCCACACACACACACAAAAGCAAGCCAACAAACGCTCCCGGCGCCCGCAGGATGACAAGACAAGGGGCGATGCGGAGCTCTTTGGCTGGACAAACCGAGGGGAGGAAGAATCGCTGGCGATCTTCGGATTTTGCAAAAAAATAAAAGGAAGAGGTGGGGAGGGGGAAGCAGAGAGAAGAGAAAATGAGAAATCGTGGAGGTGGGGTGGAAATTTAAAAAATAAAAATAAAAATTCCAGCCGCCACCTACCCGATCAATTTGTTCGTCGGTCCGATCAGTTCCCCTTTCCCCGGCTCTCACTTCGATCCCAACCACCTCCGGCTCTGCCCGCTTTGCAATGCCGCTTTATCTATATATAGAGCACGGGGTACAGGTTGGGCGGGGCGCGCACGCTGCCCGAGTCCAGAGGGAGGGAGAAGGAGAATAAGCGAGCGGGTGAGACGCACAAGGCTAAAGGGAGGGATAATGTGGACATTAAAGAGAGAGAAAAAACCCGAGGCACGAGAAAACGGCGGTGCGCTTTAGCCAATCAGAAGCGGCGCTTTTCTCCACGGAACGTCGCGCTAGCCAATGAAAACTGCCTCCATTCTGTCAAACGCTCTATAGGGTCTGGGGGGGGGGGGAAGGGAGGTCTGCCGAGCCCGAGGGAGGAGAAGCGGGACGGAGGGAGGGAAAAAAGTTCCTTGCGAGGGAACTGCGGGAATGCGAATGGAATTCGAGGCGGGCTTGCCGGTGGCTTGCCTGGCTCTTGGGGATCCCCGGCGGCTCGGGGAGCCCTTTGAAAATAGCTCCTGAGATCTGGCTCTCAATCCGAAGAGAAAAGCAATGGCCGATGCGATCCCTTCTTTCTTTCTCTCTCTCTTTCTTTTTGTTCTCCGCATTTATTCTTCACACTGCCTAATTATCACTTCCAGCTAGTTCCCCAAGGAGCCGTGCGGTGTCAGGCTTCATTCCACGGTTTTTATTTTTTTAAAAAAATGTTTTTCAACTCCCCCTCCGCGGCTCTATTATTCACACTCAAGAATATTTTCCTTCACAACAATCATTTCTAAACTCGCGAAAGTTGGTGAGAATTTGCGGGGGGGGGGGGATTTTTTTATTTTTTTGTTGTTGTGCTTAAGGGAATTAATGGCCTTGCTATAGTGAATTAAAGCGCATCACGATTAAAAATTCATGACGATGCGGGGTGTTTAAAATTCCTTAGTGCCGTATAATATTAATCCATTTGATGTAAAATTCATACCTGTAATTTAATTTGCCTCGTTAGTTTCCCGATCACATATTGATTCCATGTGCCATTATTAGATGTGATGCTGGAAGTGCCGGAATTCCTCTGCTTTGAACCGGTATGTTAAAATAGATCATGGAAATATTGTAGGGGGCCGCTGTCTCTTCATTTCATAATGCCTTGGTGCAACTTTCTTTGAAGCTACCTTGCAAGACTCTAGATGCAAACCATTGAACTGTTGACTAATGAGCAAAAATTTCACTGTAATAAATAAAAGGTCACTTCCCCGTTTTTTAGCCATCTGAGAATTTTATACCCATGGAATCGTAATTCTGCAAGATTAGTGAAATATGTAAATAAATGCCTTCTTGTATAGTCTACTGGTATTGAACTCAGAAAAGCCACTCATTCAGAATGGGCTCCAGATTAAATAGCCCTAGTCGGATTTATCAGATGCTATGCAAAGAATATATTTTTTAATGGAAATCATATATGCCCTTTTCACTCTATTTCTTGATTCTACAATGCTCAGAACTCTAGAATTCTGAAATAGGATCACTGCTACCACTAAATGGAAAATATGGGTGGGAACATGGGTGAGCCAGTACCCACTGACAAAAATATATTTAGCTTGTCTTGAAAAGGGCATTTCAGAATCTGTGTTTGATAAGGAGATGTAGTAAAATCAACATGCAGAACTAAGATATAAGAGACAAAGAAATCAACTAAGGCAAAATACTTTAGGAATTTTAGCCACTGGATTCCAACATATACAGGATCTGGTTGCTCTTATCTGAAATGTCTCATTGAAGTGTTGAAAGAGCAAATGAATTTATCGGTGAACTTGGATACAGAATTGGACATGATTCAATACTTCTTGTTTTTTAAAACAAGCGACTTCTTTGGAGTAGTAGCTTTTAATACATTTCTTTGCAGTAATAACTTTCCCACAGAATCTTGATTGTATGAAGGATATTCCATGCTAAATAAATATGATTGCTGGATTGAATAGGTGGACCACATCTCACTGTTCCCATCCTATTTAGAATATGTGTGAAAGTAGATTTATTGCTGTAGTTAATTGTTTTGATTATAGGTTCTTAGAGTTAATCTGTTTTCATCTCGGGATATTGATCAGAAATCCTTGTATGGATCCTACTTGATGCCAATCTGGACTGAACAGATACGCCCATATTCTGAGGCATCGTAATGTCGAGCCATTCTTGAAATTGTGCAACAAGCATGCAGGCACAAAATGTTTGCTTATTCGTGAACTCTGATGCTTCTAAATTGTTTGCCCTAGGAGGTTTATTTTCCCCCTTATATTCAATACATAATTCAGTAGAAAAAATTGTATTCATATACTCAATTTGAAATGCTTTGACTATATATTCGTTGATTAGCCATACTGTTTTAATATTGAATTAAAAATAAAGTACCCAACTTTGAATATTCCATTTATATTGTAAGTCAAGCATACTTTCATTAGCAACTGTACAGGATGTATTTGCTAGGGAAATTCTGGTATAGAAATCTATACTATTACTTCTTGAAGACATGTCAAACATGTGACAAGTTGCTATTTATCTGTTGCATCTTGTTTTTGTTCATTCTCCCTAATTTAAATATAAGTGTAAGGCACTGTTCAAAACAGAGTACTACAAAGATGATATTGTAGATGCAGTAAGCAAGCAAGCAAAGATGTGGGGGGAAAAAGTTTAATTCATTCTTTGTTTATTCTCTTTTCAATTTTGTGTAAATCTTCAGTGGGTTTTAGATGTGCTGGGCTTTAAAATGAAGCAAGCATTTCATGATGCCACACTGTTCTAATTTTCAGATTTTATGCTTGCATTAACAGTCCGGTTTACATAGGTTCATTATAATTTAGGTTTTGGCTTAATGTGCAGACCCAGGCAATTAGGGTTTAATAATCAAACCCTGATTAAACAAATGATGGCACAGTATAATATGTAAAACAGGTATGTGGACATGGGTACATCTACAATTAAAAGAATTATAGGCAATCCTCCTTTAGCATCAGCCTCATTTAACAGCCTTTGCAGTTACGACGGTGATGAAAAATAATTTTGTGTCCAATGCATCCATTTACAGCAACTGTAAATCAAAGGAAAGCTGAATCATAAGCACAGCTGTGGTTTCACCTACTGACTGCTTCACTTAACAACTGAATTGCCAGTCCCAATTGTGGTAGCTAAACAAGGACTACCTACCATACCTATAATTTCTTCTATTTTCAATAGCCATAATGGAGCATGTAATGTGTATGTTTATGCAGCATCTGGGCCCAAAGAGGAGTTTTTTTTGGGTGTATGCATATATGGGGCGTTCTTCTCCATTGACTAAGCATGCTTAGCAGGCATGAAATCCTCTTACCTTCGTTACCGGTTCGGAACTGGGAGCGCGCATCCGTGATGACGTCTGGGTGGGTGGGCGGAGACTCCCGCCACCACCGGTTCGCCTGAACCGGGGCGAACCAGCAGAATACCATCTCTGATGCTTAGCATACATAAAGTTTGACTTGGTAGGGTGGGGGCAAGTCAAAAGCATACTTCAGTAGAATCTCATGAAGGAAGCACTGAAGGGGAGAAAACATTTCATACTGTACTGTTATCCAGTGACAAGCAGGTATGTAGGATGTCAGTATTATTCACATTCTGTTTTATCTGTGATCCCATTCTCCTGCTTTCAGAGCAGTCTATATAATAGCTTCCTGAAAGTCACCCTTCTTCTCTTTTCGAAGTTTAAACTGATGGATGTTTCAGCCTTGTCTTTTAAATCATTTTTATTCAAAGGGACGATGTTTCAATGTTAAATAAATATATAGGTACTATAGGCAAAAAAATAAAATAAAAAGCTATCTAGCAAAATTGCTAATGCGTTGGGCCCAAAGGATAAAAATATCTGGGATTTACATCTCTATATGCCTGAAGTGGGACACGGTGGCTTAGACACTGAGCTTGTCAATCAGAAAAGTCGGCAGTTCAGCAGTTCAAATCCCTAGCACAGTGTAACGGAGTGAGCTCCCGTTAACTTGTCCCAGCTTCTGCCAACCTAGCAGTTCGAAAGCATGTAAAAATGCAAGTAGAAAAATAGGGACCACTTTGGTGGGAAGGTAATATTGTTATATGCGCCTTCGGCATTTAGCCATGCCAGCTCCATGACCACGGAGATGTCTTTGGACAGTGCTGGCTCTTCGGCATTGAAACGGAGATGAGCACTGTCCCCTAGAGTCGGGAAAGACTAGCACATACGTGCGAGGGGAACCTTTATCTTTATACCTGAAGTAATTGCTGGTCCAGGGTGTGTCTATTCTTTGGGTACAACTTACCTTTCCGTGTGTCTTGGTAGGATAAAATGCTCTCTTGTGTTTCCCGGAGGAAGGATAGAATAAATACAGCCAATGTTTATGTTTAGCACCGTGTAAATAAATATCAAGCAATCTGTGCAGACGATAACTAACATGTTTACCATATGCATTGGCACCAACCGTTCTGCTTAGAAGAGCCTAGAAGGAGAATCCATAATTTTTTAATTTTCTGAGAAAGTTGAAGAGACTTGAATAATTAAAAAATAAATACATATTGTAAGTATCAATAGGAGAAGATATCTGCAGCTTACGATTGAATTGGGAATCCTTGGGACGCTCTCAGCCTGAATGTTTTCTTGCAGATGTTTCACCACCCAAATAGATAACGACATCAGTGCCAGTGAGAGTGGATTTTGGTTCTTGTTTACATAGAGTAGTTGACCTGCCAGTTTTGGGGTATGGTTTTCAGCTTGGTAGTTTATTGATTGGGGTATTGTTTTCAGCTTGATTCTTTGTCTGGTGTCAATCCTGCTTATCTAGCTGCTGGAAAGGACATGTTTGATCTTTTTGTTTCTTTCTTAGCTTTTCTATTGTCTCTTTTGAATAGCATGTGAATATGCTTTATCTCTATCTGTCTACTGATGGCTGATTTGTCTGAATGTCAAGCTTCCAGAATTCCCTAATGGATTTTTGGAGGGAGGGAGGAGCGCGTTGGCTTGGTCTACGATGCTAAGAATTTTTCATACTATTCCCACACTCCCATGTGGTCTAGTCTGCCCATATCTTGTGAGATAGACTAAGGCAGTTTTCGCTGTGTCTTCTGACATAGTTGGTGTTCATGGATG